GTGTGAGGGAGTATGAGGGAGTGTGTGTGAGAGAGAGTGTGTGTGTGAGAGAGTGTGTGTGTGAGGGAGCATGAGGGAGTGTGTGTGTGAGGGACGTTTGAGCAGGATAACTGTGAGGGGCCGAGTGGCCTCCCTGCCTTGCGGATGTCGTCGGTGATGTTGGGTCTTGTGTTTGCTCCCACAGATTGACGCCCCCAGGGGGCGGCGGTGAGGAGGGGGTGGGGGCTGTGATGGCCAGTTCCTGCATCATCGCGCCCACTGTCAACGTGTCGGAGGGGACTGGAGTCACGCAGGCCCCCTGGAACGGCAGCGCTTCATTCGCCAACCACGGCCATATCATCTCCACCGTGCTGATCCTGACCTCGGTGCTGGGGGTCCCGCTGAATGGCCTGGCCCTCTGGGTGCTCGGCTGCAAGGTGCGGCGCAGGAACCGCTTCGCGGTGTACGTGCTGAACCTGGTTTCGGCCGACTTCCTCTTCCTCGCCCTGCAGGCCGTGCACAGCGCCTGCGTCTTCTCCAGCGTCGACACCTCCAACCCCGCCCTCCTGGTCTTCCGCTGCCTCATCGTGGCCTGCAACGTGGCCAGCGCCTACCTCCTCACCTGGATCAGCGTCGAGCGCTTCTTCGGCGTGGCCTTCCCCATCTGGTGGAGGCTCTCCCACGTCAGGGCCTCCGCCACCCTGGCCTCCTGTTCCATTTGGGCCCTCTCGCTGGGCATGGGAGCCCTGTACGGGGTCATCCGCGGCACGTCCATCGCTAGGGAGGGCCTGGTGGCCGCCGAGTTCACCCTGGCCTTCGTCATCCCGCTCGTGGCCTTCTCCCTCGCCAATGTCTTCATCCTGTGCAACCCAGGGCAGCCCTCCAGGAAAACCACCAAGCTCTACAGGGCCATCACCCTCAACGCCGTCTTCTTCCTCATGTGCTGGGCCCCCTACCACATCAGCGTCTTCCTCTACTACCGGGCCATGGCGGACAGGCTCATCTCCCGCTGCTTCTCGGCCTTCTATGGGGCCTACTACTCCATCTGCCTCCTGCACATCAAGAGCTGCGTGGTGCCCCTGGTCTACATCTCCGTCAGCAGCGAGTTGAAGATCCATTTCCGCCAGTCGCTCCCCAACATCTTCGAGCGTCGCTTCAGTGAGGAATCGGGCCTCTCTTCCCCGCAGCCCCCAGCAGGAGAAAATGGCAGCTGCTTGGCCAGAGAACCCTGAGGGATGAGAGGGGCGGGGGAATGTTGGGGGTGGGTCCACCAGCGGAGAGAAATTGTGCTGGGCTTCCGTCGTCGTTTCGGCAAAGCACCCGCGTTCTCCCTCCCCCCCCCCAAAAAAACTGCACCCCCCCCCACCTCCTCGACCTGTTAGTTAAGACCCGCCAGACTCTCCTCATTTCAGTCAACATCCGCGGCTCGATCAGACGATCGCACGCAACTCAGTTGTTCTTACTACGGAAGCTCTAAATGTGAAACCCTCCAGCCCCCAACACTTGCCCTCCCTTGTGGGGGGGGGCAGCGGGGAAATTACGGGGATGTGTGCCGAGGGGTAAACTGCTTTTCTCCTCAGTCTAAGTTTTGAGTCACACCCCCACCCACCACCGCACCACCCCCCCCCACCCAACCATTTCTCTCGATGAGTCGCTCACCTGTCAACGTAGACATTGCTGTGTATGGCCAATGTTTCCTGACCCATTCGTCCCCGCTCCATCAGGAAGATGCCCATTTCTCCCCCACCCCCTCGCGGTGGTCTATTTTCACCTTACCGTGAAATCCGAACTACGAAATACGACAGCACCATTCCAACATCTAGCCGAATTAACGGAAGATCTAGCGCCCAAAAAAAAAATTTCAGAAACAAGTGCTTGGTGGGAAATGATCCGTCGAGAAGTCCCGAGGATAATGTGTACTGTTGGGACAAAGTGGAGATAGAAAGAGAGAGAGAGAGAGAGAGAGAGAGGTAGAGGTGAGGGCGCGAGATTGTTAGAAATAGGATCAGGAGCAGAGAGCTGATATCGCGAGAGATGACGGGGGTGGGGGGTTATTCGGAGACATCTGTGTTAATGCTTCACCCCTTGTGCTCGAACCTAGCGTACACTAGTAAAATGTAAATGCCCAGAGTAGGAACATTCCCCCACCCCTCCCACCCTTCTGTCGGGCTCTAAGACCTATCGGAGACTGGCATCTAAACCCTACCACCCAATTGTCGCGTGGGTGCCCAGCAGCAGCTGGCATGAAAGAGTTTGTGTGCAGTGTGTGTGCGGCCGTAAAATGTCTTAAGCTGCACAGAATCAGGGGAGACGCTGCTAGAGAGGAAGAGCTCACTGGAGGCTGATAACCACACCTCTCTCCGCCAAACCCCAATCCAGACACCTATCCCGTCCCCTGGGGAGGATGCCACTTCTGCCCTGGCTTGTGTATATCAGCGACCTGAGTTTCTAGAGTGCACTGCGAATGTCACAATTTGAGAAAAGCCACTAAACACCCTTGCACTGCAGGTAAAGTGTGGGAAGAGGTCACTCGCTCTCTCTCTCTTTCTCTCTCTCTTAATCCGAGAGCCACAATCCATCACGGACCCTCGTTGGTTAGCTCAGAATCTGGTTTTCTGTTTAGCTTTTGTCGTTTTGTTTTGTCCTGAAAGGTCCCCTCCTGCACACGTACGCTCGCATTATTGTCCTGTCTCGTGTTCGGTAACTAAATAAACTCACTCTTTCGTTAAACAGAGAGAAGCTGGTCAAATCGCTCTCCTCGAAACGCACAAGTTAATTTGCAGAGCGAAAGGGGGAAAGAGAAAAGAACAGTAAACAAAAAAAAAGAAGTGGCTGGAGCCACGAAAGAGAAAAGAAAAATCAGAGTTAACGTTCTGGGCCCTGTGACCCTCCCTCAAACCCTGCTCTCTTAGCTATTGTCGGAATCTGCGAAGGATAGGGAGCGTTTGGAGAGATAATTGCCAGACACAAATTTGGCAGATCACAGATATCCTATCCACAAAATCCAAGTCTAACGGAGGATCGGAATATTCAAACAGGGAATGTGAAATATGCTCTCGCGTCTGTTTAGAGTCGTAGAGTCATAGGCAAGCAAGGAAGAGCTCACTGGAGGCTGATAACCACAGCTCTCTCCCCCGAGCCCCAATCCAGCCCCACTTCCACCCACCCTCACCCCCAACCCTTGGGAAGATGCCACTTCTGCCTTGGCTTGTGTACGTCAGCGACCTCAGGTTCGAGAGTGCACTGCGAATGTCACAATTTGAGAACAGTCACTAAACGCCCTTGCACTGCAGGTAAAGGACAGGAAGAGGTCACTCGCTCTCTCTCCCTCAATCCGAGAGAGTCATAGAGATGTACAGCACGGAAACAGACCCTTCATTCCAAATCGTCCATGCCGACCCAGATATCCTAAATTACTGTGAGATTTCTACGAGCGACCATTTGGGAAGCGCACAATTGCTATGGTTCAGAAAGAGATTTTCGTTCCTTTTCGGTCCTGTCTGCACTAACTCGACCCCCAGCGCCAATCTCCAGCCTCTTTCCCCGTTCCCCTGCACTTTGTTCCTAGCTAAGTAACCATCCAATACCTCTCTCCAAAGCCTCCCCCACATTTCACAGGCAGTGCATTCCACGCCTAAAACCAGTCAATGGGTGAGAAAGGTTTTTTTCCCACACATCACTCTTGTTTCGTTTGCATGTCACCCCCACAGGGAGAGTAGTCCCCAGTTCCTTCAGTCTATCCCCAGAGCTGAAGCTTCCCATCCCCGGTGCTACTCTGGTAAATCGCTCTGCACTCTCGCTTTCTCTCTCTCTCTCTCCAATGCGTTCACATCCTTCCTGTTCACATCCCTGTTCCTGTAATGTGGAGCCCCAGAGCTGTGCTCCAGCTGATGTCTCACAAAGGTGTTGTACAAGTTTAACATCGTCCTTTTATTTCAACAAGGTGTGGAGCTGGGATGAACACAGCAGGGCCAGGCAGCATCAGAGGAGCAAGGAAAGCCGACGTTTCGGGTCAGGACCCTTCTTCAGGGCTCAGAAATAAACAAAAGGACACATTTTATTTGTTCATTCATTCATTGATGTGGCCAGGGCATCATTTATTGTCCATCCTGGATTGCTCAGAGGGCAGCTCAGAGTCAACCACATTGCTGTGGGTCTGGAGTCACCCAGACCAGGTAAGGATGGCAGTTTCCTTCCCTAAGAGACATTAGTGAACCAGATGGGTTTTTCCAACAATTCCAGTCATCATTAGACTCTTAATTATAGATATCTTTATTGAATTCAAATTCTACCATCTGCTGTGGCGGGATTCGAACCCAGAACATTAAGCTGGGTGCCTGGACTATGAGACAGCCCATAATATCACTAGGACATCACTTCCCAGTTGCTGTTGACGCGGCCGAGCAACACAGTGAGCTCTGTCCCTGAGGCTCCATCCAGCTCTCGATCCCTCCTTGGAAATGTTTTGGGACAAGACAGCGACGTCAGCCCTGAGTCCCAGAGCGGAGTTCTCCCACCTGGGACATGCTCAGCATTTGGCACAGATCTCCCTACGGGCCAAAGGTCAAAGATGTGCCCAAGGCATCGATCCCAGGTGTTTTGGGACTTGACAAAGTCACGCTGCCTCAGGAAGAGGGAGATCTGTAACTGAAGGCATTGGTACAATGTTATCAGAGGGTGTGGGGGGGGAGGGAGAGGGGGAGAGAGACAGACAGATGGAGACAGAGAGAGAGAGACAAAGAGACAGATGGAGACAGAGAGACTGAGAGA